GCGACCTGTCAAGGGTGGCGGTTGGGGAGAGAGGGCGCGAGAGGTTGTACTTGTGCGTAGTATGTACCTGCTGGAGGTTGGAAGGAACGTGGTCCTGCGGCGGTGGCGAAAGGGGCAGTCGATACGTTTTTGGCTGGTCCTCGCGCGGACGGTGTGGCCAAGCTCGACAAAGCTAGTAAGGAGTTCGCGGTGGAAAGAAGCTGAGAGGTAGGTGAGCCCTCCGTGGTCGCTGCCTTGATCGATGACGGCTTGTCGTGACAGATCATGTGCGCATCCATGCGATCTGACTGTTGTTCCTGACCTGAGCGACGGTCTGCCTGGGAGTGTGGAGGCGTAGGAGGTGGGAGAACGCACTCCGATCTCCTGCTCTCGGCTCTTAAACCCAGTCCAAGGGCCAGCAAATCCTGTTCTGCTGGCCGGAGTGAAGGATGAGGAGAGGTACTAGTTGTTTGTGACCGAGCCATCGACGACGGTGGAGGCTGCAGCAGCACTCGTGCTTGCGCATAGCCGTTGGATAACGTGGAGCACCCAACGATTGACGAATCCCGACCCGACCGGTCGCGTGTGCAAGGAGCGAAAGCTCGCGCTGGCCAGTTGCTTGCCTGGTGTGGGCTGTCGGCTGCATGCTTCGGACTACAGCAGGTCGTTTGAAAAGGACTTGAGGTAGCACGATGAGGGCTACCAGCAGCACCGCCTTGGTGCGTTCTCAAAGGCGAGAGTACATCCTCTCTATTACGTCCTGCAGCGGGCCCGGAGGCCGAGCTGCGCAGGATACCTCCATCTCCTCCTTCTCCCTCTCCCGTTCGACGATGCAGCCGCCTAGATGTTCCCCCGTTTCCCTCCATGGCGTCCATCTCTGGTGCCCTCTGTCCGTGTGATGACGTCCCATCCGGCCCTCCCCATCCCCCTTCTCCTCCCCCCTCGTCTCCTGACCCTCCTCCTCCCTTGCTGCTTATCCAGCTGCCATCCTCCTCCCTCCTCCCCTCTCTCTCTAGCTGATTGCATGACCCTCTCCCATCTCTTGTGCGCTGTTGATGCCCCCAATCTGGCGGCTTCGGCACAGGTGCCAGCGCGTCAGACCACGCCACGGTCTCTGCCAAATGAGCCGGTTGCTGCTGCCTGATCCCTGAGCCATGGAATCCTGCCTCATAGAGCCGAGTGATGTACGCCAGCCTCCCCCCCCAGTTCGTCGTCTCCCCTCTCGTCACGAGCTTCACCACCTTGGCTATGGTGTTTCTCCCCATCGGCCGCGGTGAATACCATCTTGTTGTCGACGCCCACCCCGCTGCAGGCGCAATGTGAAACGGAGTCTTCAGCAATCTCTCCTCGTCTTTGAAGTCCGGCCCTCTCTGTCGCATCAGATTCATGTACCGATCCATCGCCGTCACGGGACAATGCTGCGTGTCCCATGGCATGTCATAGATCCGCTGCTCAACCACAGTCGACGACCACCGGGACGACAGCAGAGGAGGAGGAGGATAGGGAGATGCAGGAGGAGAAAGAAGAGGATCACGAGGACGACAGCTTGCCGTAGAAGAGGATGATTACGCATGATGGGGAGTGAGGAGAAATCACACACACACACACACACACACACACACACACACACACACACACACACACACACACACACACACACA